CTCTCTAACGCTTGGTAAATCTTTTCTCTTCTGTAAAAGCGGGGAGAGGGAACTTGCCAGCGCTGCCGCGGCGAGATAATCCCTAAAAATAACGAATGTGGGTGGAATTCGTCAAAAAAGGCGCACAGAGGTGACACAATGCGACCCGGAAAGGCGACAGTCGGCACAAGCGCGCCTTCCTTTGCCACCTTTTTGGCGTTCTGATGCCCAGAGCCTGGATTGTTTGAGGGGGGCTGAGGGGAAGCGGGGGGGCAGATGACAGAAAGGGCTGCGTCAGAGAACGGGTCACGAGTAGGGATGGGGATCGTTAATATTTATTGATATCGATACCTTTATCGATACTCCTTATCGATCCGAGTCTTTATCGATACCACTATCGATACTTTTCTGTTATTTGGTGGAAAGACGACGCGACAATAGCTAATAAATAATTGTATTTTAAATTAATCTAAATTTTTAATAAATGTTGGCATCAGTAGTTTAATTATATATTCTAAAATAATTAGAGCAATATACAACTGTATTACTCATGTTTCTCGCCAAAAACTCAATTTCCCTTTTCTTTACGTTACACTTGAACGCATCACGATAACCTAATTGTCGTTTTACTGAGCCAATCTGAACACACGTCTGAAACTTTATTTACTTTTCAAGCTAACTAGCTTGTATGCTGCCGATTACAACACGGATTTCACAATTACTATTGTAATAATAAAAAAACACCAGACTCCATAGTAGTATCGATAAGCCCAAACGGTGTTGATTTTCGGGTTTTGAAAAAAGTGGAACGGGTCCTTGATGGAACCGGTCTTTGATCCCTATCCCTACCTCTGACGGGGCCTCTGACGGGCCCTGAGGGCCCCCGGGGCTAACCCTAACCCTGACCCTAACCCTAACCCTAACCCTGGGGCTGACCCTAACCCTAACCCTAACCCTAACCCTCTCTAGGTAAGATAAAGTACTCGGAGCGCGTGTACGACGCCTGCATGGAGGCCTTCGACTGTTTGCCTCTGGCTGCCCTCCTGAACCAGCAGTTCCTGTGTGTCCACGGGGGGCTGAGCCCCGAGATCAACTGCCTAGACGACATCCGCAAGGTGAGGGCTAGCCCTAACCCCAACCCTAACC